GCTCAACCTCTCCGCCTCCTCCGACGCCGCGGACTGGCATATCGACGCGCTCACGTCCGATCCGGATTTTTACTCTGCCACCGCTTCTTCGTACCCGGCCCTCCCGATGCACTACATCGATACCCAGCCGGCGACGAGTAACCCGCTTCAAAACCAGCAACCACCACAACAACAACAACAACACCAACAACACCACCAACAACACCACCACCAGCAGAACCCAACCTTGCAATCCTTCTCGTCCGCCGCCGTTCACCCGCCTGCCCTGCAAAACTCCTCCCCGCACCACGATCCCAACGTCCAGGTCGCTCTCGACGGCCGCCCGGCCTCGTCCAAACCTTCTCCATCGCCCAAAAACTCCACCGTCGATGCTTCCTCACCGCAGGGCCCGACCTGCCTTGTAAATGTTCGTAACGCTTCGTCTCCATCCGCACCACAACGCAAGCTCCACAATTCGCCTCCGCCAAAGTCGTCACCTTTATCGGGCTCTTCTACACGCCCTCGTGTCCCAACTGCCAGATGTTCGCTTTGCGGCAAGAATATTTCCACCAATGGCGCAAACTTTCGCAGACACGAGGACGCTTGTCGTCGACAACGCTCAGAGCGCGTCTCATCCGCAAGACCCCCACCATCCGCCGTTGTTACAAACCAGCACCAGAATCAGCGTCAACAGCAACACCAGCAAAACCACCAGCAACACCAGCAGCAGCAGCAACACCAGCAGCACCAGCAGCACCAGCAGCAACATCAGCAGCCAGTTCAATCTGAACCAGCCCAACTCCAGAGGGGTTCACAGTCATCTCCGGTGCCGACACAACAACAACCCACTGGTATGTCGCGCCGGGATTCGGACTTGCTCAACGTAGTCAGACGCCTAGAGAGCAGTATTCACACACTCGACGTTAGCGCGAGATTGTGTCTGAGAGATGCCCTCGTCTCGCTTAGTAACAAGGCTTCAAATCCGAATGTCCCACCAACACCGGAACAGGAGGCTATGAATCGAGCTGCCGAGTATCTTGTCTTGCGCATGTTGTTCTTGTCAGGACAGCAGGTTGTCCACACTGCACCGGGAACAGTGGGCCCCACATATCCGCCAGACCCCCAAACTGGCTCCCCACTTGAAGGCATGGCATCGAGATCAATACAAGCAAACTGTGACATGGGAATGGGCCCTGGTCGACCAAATGCTCCGAAGGATGATGGCACCGTCGCTGCTTCGACGGGAACGGGTGGCGCAACAGTAGGAAAGCAAGAGAATTCCGTCGGTGGGAGTCCATTGCGATCGTCCTCGAAAGTGGAAGATAAGCTCGCTGATGGAACCTAGAGATCTGGTGGGGGGGGGGTCTTGATACCTCAGCGCTTTTAACTTGGATTCATTTTCCTCGAAAACGTGTCACTTAGCAAGCAGTATGGTTGTGTTGATATTCGAAACCGATTCACTGCGGTCTGTCCGGCCGCGTTGGTTGCCTCTATGCGAGCCTACAGGTGTTCTGAGTTGACGACCATTGAATTGTTAGTGGTTGTCCGACTACGTTATGTTGCGGAATGCCTCTTGCCGTTAGGTCCCGCAGATAACGACGTGCTCTCACAGGTGGCGGCTTGTGTCTCGGAAGCTCTGAAATCCGTTGAATATGGCAAGTTGAGAGCAGGAAGGCGAGAAACCAAACGATGCTTTGTGTATGAATTGGGATTTACCCTGTTTTGTGCACGCAGCTAACAGAGCCAGGATTTTAACAAGGACTTTTAACTTTGGAATCATGTAAAAAGGTTGTTTGATGAGATGCGATGAAGGGAAGGACGTTGGGTGTGTGGAAGTGAGATATGACGGGAGTTGATGTACTCTGCGATGGGAAGCGGGGCTGCGAATGTCTTCATTGCTCGAACAAGGGAAGTGCAGTGAATTGAGTTGTGTGCAGTTGGGCGAGTGATTTTTCGCGTCCGTGTACATGATCTCAGCCTGGCGGCCGCACGGGTGCCTTGTGAGGATTTAGAAAGACCCTCCTCACGATCCCCGCGTAATAGTTTGTATGGATAAAATAAAGTTATCACATGTATTCATGGGCGGTACGCACTAGGCGCAATGCTCTAGCCTCTGGTGTGTTTAGAATCCGGGGGTCAAAAGGGCATCTCATCTTGTCGCCTAGGAGACGACAGTATTCTGACCATGCCCTCCCCTCTCCCCACCTTGACATTCACATACTGCTTCATCTCCCCCTCCCTCTCCACCGTGGCCACGCGCATATTCCCCTCGACATACACCAAACTGCCAACAGCCAGCTCACTGAGCACGCCAAACCCTGTGACATTGCCCGCCACAAACACCTTATGCCATTGCGTCTCGACCTTCCAGTCGTTCGCCCCGCCCGAGTTATGATTGGTGGCGATGTTGAGCGTGAGCGACGACGAGCCGTCGTCAAACTCGCGCACATCCGCCGGAGAGCCCGTCCGCCCGATCAGCGTCAGCTTGCACAGGCTTCGGTACGGGTTCTCGGGCTCGCGACGAGGCGCCACGCGCCGGGGAAGCGAGGCCTCGGTGCAATGCCCCCGCACCACCGGACGGCGCAGCAAACGCGAGAGGGGCCGTAGACCTTGCATGTTGGCGGACTTGGATGGGACGGAGGTTGGGTGTGGGTGAGGGTGTGGCTTGATCCGGGATCAAATACGGTATGTACAGTAACAAGGAATGGGTCTCCTGTGACGGCGATGGAGCGCGGAATTTTTCGAAAAATGGGGAAACATGCACGTGCTCGTTCTTCAAATACCATCGACAAACAGACGCCTTGCGCTTTCTCTATCGCTATCAACATCGTTATCGACATCGTTCGACAACTAGCCACTCTGCCGCCCCCGGGCAATATGCCCAGTCTCTAATGCGGCATGGCCTTTTAGCTGGGGCCGGCTCATTGAGAAGCCTCCTCAATTAAAACAGTAACAACGCCCGAACAAATGATGCGGGCAAGGGTCACAGGCGCTGCCGTCTTTGCTGTCGCAAATTGTTCAAGCCCACGCGGCGTATCAGCTAGATGCGCATTGCCCCGTCCCGCGCAAAGCCGAATCCGTGCGCACGAGGACTTGCATGGTTGCGTTTTACACACGTCATGTATGCGGTTGCTGGTGATGCCCGCTGTTAAGAGCCGCCCATGCGCGGCGGATGGCAAGCAACACGCGCTTGTAGCGAGCTCACCGCTTGAGTACTGTGTCAAGCGGACCGCGAGCTAAAGCCGCTGCTATGCAAGTGACGCCTTGGAGGGTCGGTGGCGCAGAGTTGCGGCGGCATTACAATGGCAGTCAAATTGCAGATGAGCGTAAGAAGCGGGGCGGCAATGCCAGATTCGGGCAAAATTGATCACCACAGGGGTAAAAACGCAGAAACATTCGGTGCTCAACCTCCCCCTCCCAACGCAATCTCCCGCCACTCACTGCCTTTCCGTCGTCCCTCTATCGTAGCAACTCCCCCTCCTACACCTTCCGGCCTCCTCCGCTGCCGCCACCCTTCCCCGCGCGCAATGTCGACCCCCGAGCGTGCCGCGCACAACTTCTGCCGCGTCTCCGCGCGCGACGAGCTGGCCTTCGGGTCCTCGCGGCCGGGCTTCCCGTCGAAGACGGTGGACGCAGCGTCGATCGCCGAGTGGAGCGCCTTCATGAAGGAGCAGGGCGTCCAGCGCGTGCTGAGCCTGCTGGGCGACGACGAAAAGGCCTTCTTTGCAACGGACATCGACGCCGCCATGGCGGAGCACTTCGGCTCGGGGAAGTACGCCCGCACGTCCGTGTTCAGCGCCGACGCCAAGCAGGTTATGGCCAACGCGATTAAGGCGGCACGCGAGAGCGACGAAAAGATCGTCATCCATTGCTCAGGTGGAGAGGGGCGCGCAACACTTGGCATGATGCTCTGGCTCGTCGAGGTGTACGGCGTGTCGACGGAGGTCGCCGCCACGGAGGTGGAGGAAGAGACGGAGAGGCATGTTGGCGTTGCGAGGAAGGCAAATAGGGAGAAGATAGCATTTTTAGTGCAGAATGGGACTATGACGGGGTTTAAAAAGTAGCGATTTGGAGGGCAATGCGCTACAGTAGTATACCGTAGTGGCCTTTGATGACTGCTCCAGGGAAGATAGTTGGCAAAGGAACAGTTTGCGGTTCTTCTGCAAGAGCCTACGGTTGAGTTGCAGGGACAAACAAGGATGCTGTTACGCCCATTGTCTCGGGAAGAACCTGTAGACCGGAATAGAGGCACAAACGATTCTTAACCTAATGCCAGTGCTGCTAAAACCAGCAGCTGGTCACTCCAATCAGTCAACACAACTACAAGACATGTAATCACAACTTAGATTGAGATATTACTTCTAGCCTCCATTTTCACTCACTCCCTCTTGATCCGCTTATCCAGTTACAGCTATCGGGGAAGCCCGCACCCCCTCGTCCTGCCCCTCTTCTTCGTCAAAGTAGCTGCTGCCACGTTTGTCGTCAGTCACCGGCACCATCCACTGATGCTCTTCCCCTGACTGATGAATATCCACCAGCCTCTCCCTGAGGATCACCGACAAATCCCCGCTCGCCTCCTTCTGCTTTACCGCCACTATCCCGCCTGGTGTCTCCACCTTGTGCACGGGAGAGACGACCGCCGCTGTCCCCGCCCCGAAAATCTCTGAAATCTTCCCATTGCGCACCCCTTTACATACCTCCATAATGCTGATATCTCTCTCCTCGGCTTCAATGTTCATCCCTGGCGCCAGCTCCAGGATCGATCTGCGCGTGACGCCGTCCAATATAGTACCGTCCAGTCGCGGGGTCACCAATTTCCTCCGCCCCGTCGCGGCGTCGCGGAACACGAAGAACACGTTCATCATCCCCACCTCGGTGACCAGCTGCCTCTTCTCGTCGCTCAGCCATAAGATTTGGTCGTGCCCCTTCTCCTTGGCCACCTCCGTTGGTTCGATACTCGACGCGTAATTGCCGCCCGTCTTGCAGTTACCCACGCCGCCCTTCCATGCGCGCACATACTTGGGGTCGGCGAGCAGGCTCAAGCCCTTTTGATACTTGGCGCCGAGAGCAGATTTATTGGCGAAGAACGAGGCTACGGGCGAGGCAATGACATACAGCAGAGCCGAGTCGCTCCTGCGCACGCCAATGCGCGCGTCAGTAGCGATGAGCGTCGGACGCAGATACAGGGACGAGCCCGGGATGTTAGGGACCCAGTGCTGCTGCTCGTCGACGAAGGCGGCGAGCGTGTTGAGAAACTTATTCTCGTCTACAGTGGGCAAGGCAAGCCTGCGCGCGGAGTGGTTGAGGCGTTTAATGTTGAGCTGCGGACGGAAAAGGCGGACGGGGCCGTCGCCTGCGTCGACATTTCTGTAGGCCTTTAGACCTTCGAAGACCTCCATTGCGTAGTGGAAGACGGCGGCGGAAGGCGGTAGCGCTAGCGGACCGTATGGAACGATGCGAGGCGGCTCCCAGCCCGCGGATTTGGTCCACGACATGGTGAGCATCTTGTCGGAGAAGACGGAGCCCCATGGCAATTCACCTTTCTCCAGGCGCTGCATGACGGCCGGAACGGCGGAACTCGGAGAGGGGTTGGTGGACATGGCGGCGAAGAAGGTCCGGAGACGCGTCAGGGAAGGGATCGCACGCGGTGGGGAAAGCATCTCTGAACTGGGGCGATAATTGGTAGCAGTTATTTGTACAGTGTAGAAGGGGGTGGTGGTGCGTGTGTTGGCGAGGCGTAAGCTGGCGGGGCGTGAGCTGGCACGGGTGCTGAAGGCAACGTACGTTGGCCGGAGCCATGGGGACATGAGGGTTGATATACAATTCAGGATGCGTGCGTCGGAACTCTGAGTGAAGGTTTTGCAGATGAGCAGGAGATGTTGCGACAAGGGAAAGTTTGCGGGCGCTGAGCTGGAAGGATTGAGTAAGGAACTATTGATAGTTGATATCAACAGTCACATGAGTGAGACGTGGGCGGATTATAGAAAGGCAATCAGAACAGGGCGACATCCCATTGTGACCAATGGCGATACAGGATGCAATCGCAGTGCAAATCGGCTTCCACTTGGCGCGTGCAGGAGGAAGGAGGCAGTTCTGGAGGCGACGTTTCGTTGCGCGTGGTAGGATTTGTGTGCCGCATGGCCAGGCATTTAGCCTCATTAGCCTTCGTGCCAAGCACTTCACGTGACTACGTCAAGTCGCCTCTCCCAACCATCCCTTACTCGTTCTTCATTCCCCCGTTTAGCTCTCGCTTTGGTTGCCGCGCTCGAACCGAGTGTCTAGACACGCGACTACCGCGGCATGTACGGATGGGCTTTGATGTTTGTTGCGCATGCCATGACCGCATTTGCCCGTCGGTCATGCTCACGTGTAATCTGAGCCAGGAAATGTGCAAAAGAGTGAATAATAATAGAATCGGCAGAGAGTCGCGATCCTCTTTATCATCACGAACGGGTGTGGTATTGCGCGAGGCGACGCTCCATGTGGACTAGTCGTGCATCTCATGACTGCAAGGAAAACGAAATTTGCACCCGAGCCCAACTGTCTCCCCCGTCGGAAAGCACGAGAGCTTTTCACGGATGCCAGAGTTTGCAAAAGAAACCGCGCCTCTGCTGCTATGCTGAACGAACTACAGTATGAAGATGTCCACCGAGGAACAGTGCCGGACATGTCATCTCAAACATTGAAGACCTCTCGCGGATCACCATCGTCTCTCCATATGGAGCGCATACAAAGACACGTGTTCATGCCTAGCACCTGAAGGTGCACCTGCGACTAAGTATCCCACGGCTACCTCGCCAATCTCCCATCGCTTCCATCCACACACACACACACACACACACACACACACACACTCACCCTTCCCCCTCCCTCCTCACGCATCCACACCGATCCACTCGCACCCTCCACTCGTCCTGTTCCTTCCACGCGGGGTAGCAACTTCCACAATGGGCGGCACGCACGGCATCGCGCGGACGGAAACGCCTGCGCACACGGTGCTTCAGGGGGGTGGGCGCTACGAGGTGTGGCGGTACCCGTCGTCTGTGGCGGCGGTCGTGCGCGTGACGGACGTGCAGCGCGCGGCGACGGACCGGGCGTTCCGCGACGCGGCGTTCTCGCTGCTCGCGCGCTACATCGGCGTGTTCTCGAGACCGCACAACGCGACGGTGGGGAACAGGCCGGAGAAGATCGCAATGACGTCGCCGGTGGTGATGACGCCCGGCGCGCACGAGCGCACGCACTCGATGCGCTTCCTGCTGCCCAGCCGGTACCGCTCGGTCGAGGAGGCGCCGGCGCCGACCGACGCCGCCGTCAAGCTGGAGATGGCGCCCGCGGGACGAGTCGAGGCCGTGCTCCGCTTCTCGGGCAACATGGACATGGGCGTCGCCGCGCAGCGCGCCGCGGAGCTCGGCAGGTTGCTGGAAGAGGACGGGCTGAAGCCGACGGGGGCGTGGATTGCGTGCGCGTATGACCCACCCTTTATGCCCCCCATGATGAAGAGGAATGAAGTGCACTTTCCACTAGACCCAAAGGCCTTTCCGACACAGCAGGGCGGTAAGTGAAAGAGAAGAGGCATTTGTCCTATGCTGCGACGTGGGTGTCGTTACGCCTGCCTGGACTGGGCACAATCTCTTCCACGTCACGAGCGGAAAAAGATTTAACCGGAAACAAAATCAACTCACATGTTTGCATGCAAGGCAACAGACGAATAACAAAGGAAACCCGACGCTGTCGCAAGGACACACCTCTACAACAACTAGCGTACGACGCATCGCGCTCGTCCCCACTCAACGAAACTCCCAACCTTGCTAAACTCGAGTTGAAACGGCACAACTCGCAGTGCTTCATGTCTCTGCATTTTGAGTAAAGAACGACCGTCGCGCTATAAAACAATAAAGAAACGAAACGCCAAAGACACTGATCTAGTTAGGGTTCACTCGGAAGGTCCAGCGACCGAAGAGGCGTTGCCGCAGCATGACGAGCTTGAGGCGGAACCACCTAAGCCAGGTCAACGAGCGAGGCAACCCCAGCCCGCCCATGGCGCGGTACTTAAAGTTGGAGATGGCGCGCCCATATCCGACGTTGCGCGTGGCGGCCGCGGACGCACGCCACGACCAACGCAGTGCCTCCTCCCTCGCGACCCTGCCCATGTTCTCGCGCAGCGCATCGTCGCCCAGCAGCTGTTCGATGCGCGCGCTGCACTCCTCCTGACTGCCCCTCGAAAACAAGTAGCCCGTGCGCGAGTCGTCAATAATGTCCGGGATGCCGCCGGCGTTGGCGCCGATGACCGGCACGCCGGAGGCCATCGACTCAAGCACGACAAAGCCCAGGGTCTCCGACTCGGACGGCATGACAAAGATGTCGGCGGACGCGAAGGCCTGGCTCAGCTCCTCCCCGTGCAAAATGCCCGTGAAGAGGGTCTTCGTGCCCGCAAGCTCCTGCTCCAGCATGGGCTTCGCCGGGCCGTCGCCGACGAGGGCGAGGCGGCAGTGCGGGAAGCGCTGCAGCAGCTCCTTGAAGAAGATGAGGTTCTTCTCCGCGCCGATGCGGCCGACGTAGATGAGCAACGGGTCCTCCGGATGACCCTCCGTGAGGCGGGCGCGCATGGCGGGGCTCTTGTACTTGGGGTTGAAGATGGTGGTGTCAATGCCCTTGCGCCACAAGCCGACGCGCTCGAAGCCGTTTTGCACGAGCTCCTCGCACAGCTGCGGGCTGGTGGTGAGGGTGAAATCGGCGCGGTTGTGCTGGAGACGGAGCATAGTCCAGGTCAAGCCCTGCAGCAAGCCGAGGCCGTAATCCTTTGCGTAGATGGGCAAATGGGTATGATAGCTGAGCAGGAGGGCCTTGCGCAACAGCCTCGCATACAGCAAGGTGGCAAAGATCAAAACACCAGGGGTGGTGAGATGGATGACGTCGGGGTCAAACTCCTTGAGTGCGGTGTACACACCGCGCAAACCGAGGGTGAGTGTGATGCGGTGGTACAACGGGAAGCGAAAGCCGGGGACGTTGACAATCTTCGCGCCTGCAAACTCGGTGGGGGCGTCGGGATCGTTGTCAGGGACGATGACGAGGACGCTATCGCCGGCGTCTCTAAGCTGGAGCAGGAGGTTTTTAAAACGGTTCGAGTAGCCGGAGGTGTGTGTGAAGGGGGACGGCTCGACCATGAGGGCGATGCGACGCGGGGGGGTAGCGGCGAGGTCGAGGTTGTGTCCGTCGGCGACGGCATACGAGGCGCGCGCGGTGGCGGCGGCCTCGGCCTCTGCGGGGGTGGTGCCGGTGTCTGCGCGGGCGACGACGACGGAGGGAAAGCCCGCGAGGCGAGCGAAGTAGGGCTGGGCGGGGGCCATGAGGGGGCGGCGCGGGCGGGCGAG